TCAAAAGATCACGCGCGCCTCAAACCTGCGCACCCACACACTCCCTATTCTAGTCAATCGTTCAGCAACGTAATCTACAGATGCAGCCGGGCCTCCCGCAGTATACTTAAACTTTGATCCAAACCTTATTTTTTGTTGCTTGCGAAAACCAGGGCAGATACCCTTGTAAGGGTATTCGCCCCGACAGCTTACCGGACCATATTAAGCGATGAGAAAAAGCTATCAGTTCGACCATAATCCAAAATGCTGACGAGAAAGGAACCACTCCGATTAGCCGACAGACTCGGGTTCGAGGCCTCGATCAAACCGTGCCAACACAACTATATGCTGCCATATCATGACACAAGGACGCCGGTGTATTACGCATTCATACTGTAGCATAAGTTCCAAAGGCCGTCACAACCGTCCTCTCCCCTTCGTCCTAGACAAACGTCGACTTCTTGTTGAGTGTCCTAGTTAGTCTCTTCCTTGCAAGCAGAGCCATAACTAGGGACGCGGTCCTTAACCGAGACCTTAGAAGACATTCTCGCCTTCCATCCCAAAAATCCTCACAATCAATCACATATACATGCATATATGCACTTAAATCTCATCTCAGCTCTTCCTGCAGTCTATTATAGAAGTGTTAGGTCTCCATTTTGGCCCGCCATAGTCTGGTTGATCGAGCCAGATCTGCGACCCACCGCATTGTTATCTTAGCGGCAGTGCCCTCGCTGGTTACGCAACGATAGGCTTTCTCCTGATAAACATTCAAAGCATTCAATCAGGACTACCCAAAATACTTCGACAGACTCGACTCATATCCCCCGCCATCCCGCAGGAGTATTTCCCTGAGGCGTGCATACCCCTTAAGCTCTTACCCCATCGGTAGACGTGGGCTCGCCACCAGGTTGTGCCGGTCATCAGTCATCCACTAGGGGTTGCGCCCTAGTAGTGCTAAACTTTACCGTTAGCTTGGTCTTCCTCAACATGCCTTAGGATTAGCACAAGTGTTTGGACGATGTGTCGCAAGAGACCACAGGCCCCTTGCAGGACTACGCAGGGGCCTGTCTCACATAAAGGCGTTTACCAGCTCCCTATGGGACAACATAGAGAGCACGACACCCTTCTCACAATCACAAACAAAATCACCGCCAGGTTCACAAGGCCGTGGCCCTCTGTCTTCAGCAGAGACAGCAAAACACACATCCCAAAGACATCTACCAAATGCACTGATTTGCGGCATGCTCAACTCCACCAATAATCCAAACAGTTTTCTTGTCCTTCTCGTCAGACTTTATCAACTCAACTCCAACTTTCCATGCCATTAGATTTTTTACCCACCTTTAACTAATCAAAGGTGCCTCTCAAAATAGGTCTCCCAACCATCCCTTCCTTCTCTACGATGGACTCTCACGCGATCTTTTTAAAACATCTTCATTTGGAAGGTGAGTTTTTCAATCAACAATTATTACCACCTTCCCAACTCTAAAGAGGTCTAAAAAAAAAAAAAAACGACTCAGCGCCGAGAGACCGACTTATGGGTCCTCGTCACAACTCAAACGATAACATTTGGCATGGTAAAGCATCCGAGTCTCAGAGACTCATAAATCCCGTAATATTCTCATAACCTTTCACAAACAGGCTGCACTCCTCCTCCTTATGCTCTGCCCCATCATCTGCTCGTAAGCAGGTCACATGAGTATACCGGAGAGTAGACAACTTTACGAGTTTCCCATTCATTAAACACATAAGATGCATCTCACACATCTCTCTCACAAAGCCATCATACAATAGGGCAGAGTCACACATGTGAGAGTGATAGTGATCGTCATAAAGACAAACCTCATAAAGTCTCAACTCATAGTACACTCGGGAGCAGAATGTCCCCCTCAAAAACTCAATACAAATCCTTAGCTCATCGTCCCACTCATCTGAGTAGAGCTCATGTCCTCGATATACAAAGTCACACAATATACCCAAGAATACAAATAAATCTCGATCTCATAAGTCACAGCGTAACTGCGTACTCATACATGTCACTTAATCTAAATACGACCTCCTGGATCACACAAAAGAGAATCCCCAAACCTGTCAAGTACCACAACCTACATATGTACAATCAGACATGGACTCACACGACTGACTCAGGGTATGTATAGCTCTAGCTCAATCTTTATGTACAAACAACTCTAATCCTACTAGCCCATAGACAAACCAGTCCCTACTCACTCATCTCCTCCTGGTTTTGCCTATACAACTGAGTTCTACCCCCATCTGTAGTCCGCTCTACTACTCTAGCCTGTCTATCGTGCATCTTCTCATCCCTCTCAGTAACTCTTCCTGCAGCCTAATCCGCGAGGAACTTTGGACACTCAAGGGCCCTGTGCATGCCGACCTGGAAATAAAAACACATACTTTCCGACTTCCTCTGAAACTTCTTCTTCTTCTTTCCATGGGGATCTGAGGACTGGGAAGCAACTGTCATAGCTGGTTGGCTCGTGACTTTCTGCTGCTGCTGCCCAAAGACATACCCTCCTGAATCTGCCCTTGTGGCCCAAGAACCCAACTGGGCTCCCAACTCTCCCATCTCTGGCACGCGCTCAGGAGTATCCAGTCTCCGAGGTTTCTCTAGCGGCATATCCACCTCCATGGCGGCTACCAACTCGTCCAGGCGCGACGCCTCCCTCTCCTCCACTTCAGGTTGAGGGGGTACTACCGCGCCTGTAAGGGCACCCCCTCGTACCTCCAACATGATTGCAAGGGACTCTTTTGCAAACCCGTCCTTAGTCGGCGGGGGCTGAGGTCCCTGAGTTGGTCCCTCAACAAGATCCTCAAATGACTTAGGGTTCTCTTGCTGCGAGGCTAATGTTGTGGGAGTCTTGAACTCAAAACTTCCCTCTTCAGCCTTCCTCTCCATCTCCACCTCAACCAGTTTCAGGAATACCTTTTTCAACCCCTCCTGCCGAGAAGGCTCTGCTGTCCCTCCCTGGCCGAACAGTCCCTGCATCCCCTCACCTTAAATGCCATATCTGCTCTACTGAGTCCAATCAACCACCTTGGTGGCCGAAAGCCTCTCTACTGCAACTGCCATATCCCTAAGCTTCTTATCCCATTCAGCTTCCTTGGCCTTAAGACGAGTCCTCCAGGCCTGGTTTTCAGCCTTCTCCTCTGCAAGCTGAGTAGTCAGCTGCTCCACTTCCCTATTTCTGATTGCTAGCTCGTCGCTAAGCAAAGAATACCCGTGAAAGGAAGTGGTCGCTGCCTGGCGTATCCTCCTATCCACTCGCTCAATTGTCATCCTGGCAGCGGAAAATCCCAAATCTCCTGTCTCTCTCACCTCATCCGCCTTCTCGTCTGCCTGCCTTGTCTCTCGCGACCTCTGGCGGGCTGCATCCCTCCGGCTTTCGTATCTGGCCCACATCTCGTCGATCCTTTGCTCACTTGTCTTGGGATCGACTGGCGGTGCCGGCTCTACCCCGACAGCCTCCATCTCAATTTTTCTCTCATATATGTCAGCTAGGCGGGCTTGCACCCTGGCAGACTTCTCCTCAGCAATTTCTCCCAGTGATCTCCCCACTCATGCTCCGTGGGTCCCTCGAGTCGGGGCCTCAGTACTCGTCCCTCTCTCAGCATGTGGCGACCCTCAGGATGGCTCAATCAGGGTGGGCATCTCAATGTCAGGGTGTTCGGAAGCGTGCGTGGCTAGCCGCGAATCGATAGTCGCGCGGGCCTCAGCTCTCCACCCCTCTCCTGGCCTCTCCACCTCTGCCACCTGTCTGGGCGATGTAATAACCTCCTGTGGGGGTACCGGAACCTCACTACTATCTGGCTCGGGAATGCCCTCTGGCCAGGGCTGCTGCACCTGCTCCGGAGTTGAGATATGAGGAGGGGTGTCATCTCCTACTCTAATGACCTCCTCCCCATATGGTTCCTCCTGCCTGTGTGGCCTTGCCTCGGGCTCAGGGCGTTGCGGCTCCCTCATCAGTGGCTCGTCCGGATCCACGCCCACTTGTGGCCCCCCCCCACTGAGATACGTCGAGATGGGCCTCTAGACTCCTGAGTGGTGTCTCTTATGGTCCACCCTCTCCCTGCTCTGGCGATCGCATCGACGGTCCCTGTAGATCACTGCTGGTGATCAGACGAAACTCCACCCGCCTAAGTCCACAAGTAGGGAATGACTCCACCGCCTGAACAGGCTCCGCTAACTCCTCTCCTCGTTGTGCCAAGGCCTTCCGCCCTTCCCTAGTTGCGATGGCCTCGCTCGGCTTTGGATCCCTCGTCCTCTTACTCCTTCCCCTCCTCTCGACCCCCAACTCCGGTTTCTCCGGCTCTGGCCGCCGGAATGCCTCCCTTAGTTAAGCGTGGCAGTCCTCCCAGTTACACGCTCTATCCCGGATCTACCTTACCAGCAGCCTTTCCGCCCTCTTGGTCCATAGAAGTAACGTCCGCATCCACTCCTCCTGCACAGTCCCCTGGTCACGCATATACCGCTCGTAGGCTGGGATGAACTCCTCTGCATTCCCTTCCTACAGTCGGATAGGCAAGCCATCGCGCCCCATCGGCGAAACCCTCAGCCTCTGCATCCTGGCCTCTACATCTGGCCAGGTTAATGCCTCCTCACGGATATGTGCGATAAGCTCTTCGAAACGTCCACCCCCCTCAGGTTCCTTATCATTTCTAGAGCAGTCCATCCTCTCCGTGTCGCTTGACCCTGATAGACATCCAAGAAGAACTCTATGTTATCATCGTCAAAGACAGGCGTAGACTCCCTCCTAAACGGCCTGCGCTGGTCGTCCTCTCTAGATGCTCCCAGAGGTCTCTGTCGTGGCCGTGAATTTCTCCCGCCCCCCTGCATGGTTGTCTTCGAAAAGTCAGACCTTCACAACAGGGAAGAGAAAGCAAACAGGCACATAGTAGGGTCAGCAAGCAGGTCCATCAGATCTAAGGCGAGCACGTACTTAACCTAGACAAACCTATCCCTTTTATCCTTCTTTCTAGCCTAACCAGGCCATGCGACACTTTAAGACAAGGGTTTATCAAAAGGGGTATAGAGCCATTTACCTATTGCCGGACCACGGATTTCTTCAACCTTGTCCCTGATACCTAATCCTTCCATTCGGTTCCGTCCAACTCCTCGCTCTGGTAGGCTCCGAACTCGCCGCATCGCACGATCCTATAGGGTCCCAACCACCGTTTGTCGAGTTTCCTCGACCATTGCTTCTCCAAAGAGGAATCGTACAACAATACGACGTCCCCAATTGCCAATGGTTCCTTTCGCACTCGCGCCATCTGATCCCACTGCATCTTGTCGTTCATGCGGCCTTTTTCCACCTGATTGGAGGTTTCTTGTATCCTTTCTTCAGCAGCACCCACCTGCCGTGCCCGAATATCGAGCAACTCTTCGGAAGACAGGTTGGTCTCCAAGTCTTGGCACCTCCAAGTCTTCAGGAAGCTTTCTATGGGAAAGGTGACATACCTCCCATACCACAAAGTGGCCGGCACGTACTTGGTAGTACTCTTCACCGTGATATTCTCAACGAAGAGGGTTGCTCGCAGGAACTTCGACCATTGACCGGGTCTACCTTCTGTCCACTTAGCTAGGAGATTCGTGATAGTACTATGTCTCCTTTCCACCGGTGTTTTTGCTTGAGAATGTGCAACGGTAATATAATTCGTCATTGTGCCATACCCCGCAAGCAACGTTTGCTCCTCTTTGCAGGTGAACTCCGATCCTCGATCCATCACGAACTCCTTGACGAAAGGGTAGCGTTGGTAATACTCTTCAATGCAGCTCTCCAAAACTTGGTCGGTCTTCGTGCGAATGGCCCGACCGTCCATAAGCCCAATAAGGTTGTCTCGCGCATCGAAGGTATAGTTATACCCGTTCTCCCCAACAAGCATGAAGAGTAGATCCAAATGTACAACTGCGCCCACTTCTCTCCTCAACCTTGGGTGTAGGGGTTCCCCTGGCCTCTGCGCCGATCTCTCTTGGCAAGGTACACAGGACTGGCAGTATTTGATGACCATGTCCAACATTCCACTCCAGTAATATAACTCGCTTATCTTAGCGTACGTGGCACTTACCCCTTTGTGCCCTCCTGCTATGCCATCGTGCAATGCTGTAATAATATCGATCTGTCGGTTTCTCCCGCATACAATTTGCTTGGGATTCCTGACTTGTCGTTTTATAAACAAATGACCATCTCTCATCTTCTGTGCCTTAGCACTTGCATCTCTATCCCTCATCTCACAAGACAAAAGTAGCTCCAATTCAAGGTAGATCCGATCATATTCCTCTGCACGAAAAATTTTTTTGATCTCTCCTTCCTCAAACTCATCATCCTGATTTTCAGGCACAAAATCCTCACCTTCCGCCGGATTCAATGAGCCTCTTTGATCAAAATCCCCTTGCAGAAGCGTGTTCGTAAGGAGATACATTCCTCCCATCAGCTGCTCGTGCTTCTCTACCTGAGTAGGGCCCTCCTCTATCGTCCTCACTTCTTCCGCCAAGCTATGTGTACCTGCTAGTGCCAATTCCATCATCCAGTGAACGTCCTTGCTTTCCCATGGGTCCTCTTCCTAAAAGGGCTTGAGGACTAATTTCGCCTTTTGCTCATACCCCCTAGGTGCTAACCATATGGGGTGACTGACACAATTAGGCACTCGTAAGGACCATTCTTTTATATGGAGGCGGACATCCTCTTCTTGGTTCAAAAACCCATCAACTGGTGGAGTGTCTTCTACTGACTCCTGATCTGGCTTGTCCCAGTTGATGAGGCTCAAACCATCTGCCCTGTTCTTGTCCCCCGGAATTCTCTCCAGCTCAAAGTTCAACATTCAAATGTACGTCAATCAAGTTGCGACGGTTGGGTCAGATGGAGTATAATTCTTCAGGGAACAGGCGAGCGTGGGGTCCACCCTCAATATGAACCTCCTGCCAAAGACATAGTTCTGGAAGATCCTTAGGCAGTGGAGTACTGCAAGCGTCTCCTTTTTAAATTGAGAGTAGTTCCTCTCAATCGTATTAAGTGTCCGACTGTCGAATCTTAGTTGCCTCTCCTTTCCTTCAGCATCTGCCTGAACCAGGACTCCTCCCAGGGCAGTTGGTCCAACGCCCGTCTCGATGATGAATGGCTTTACCTCTGTAACCTCGTAGTTCGCCGCCCCTAACACTAAACCTCCTTCCTTGAATTCCCCCTTCATCTTCTTTACAGCCTCGTCCTGATCTTCACCACAAACCCACTCCTGATCCCGACGCAACAGCTTCCGCAAATGCTCAGTCTTGGCGGCAAAGTTTTTTACGAAACTCCTCCAAAATCCACAAGTCCCAAGGAAGCTTCTCGGTTATCGAGCGGAAGGGTACCGACCACTCGACGATCTTGTCTGTTTTCTTCACATCTGACCTTCGACCACTCTCATTACCGACGAACCCCAAGATGGTTGCTTCCCTCGTACAATGCTTGTATTTTGGGTCACTTGCTGCAAGGTTGTACTCTTCCAACAGGCTCAGAACCCGATCAAGGTCCTGGATATGCCTCCAAACGAAACGCCTTACTCCAGGCATCATTTCGTCTTCCTCTCTCTCTCTCTCGGGCCTTTGACCGCCAAGTCATCAATATAAGGTTGGGTGATGTGTGGACTAACCGTCTGCATGGCTCTAATCATATGCCTCTGCACCATTGTTACTGCATTGGTCCAACCTTGAGGAGCTACATTCATATGAATTAGCACTCTTGGTGTATGCATTGATATTACTGGCCTATCCGGCGGGTACACAGGAAACTGGTCATATCCAGAATAGAGGTCTATAAGCGAAATTATAGGCCTCTCTGCGCATGACTCTGACAATGCGTCCGCGTTCGGCAATTCTCCCACATCTCACACTGTCACGACATTTAGCCGTTGCAAGTCCTGTATCCACCGCAGCGTCCCATTCCGCTTAACGAAGTAAAACCAGGGGGAAGCGTATGGTCCGCTGGAGTAGTCAGCAACATGCGTGCACATCTTGTCATCCAGGTAGTCCACCACCATCTTTTCCTCGTCAGGGTTAGGATATCGCGCGCCTCTTAAATTCCATGGCTCATGTGGGACAGTGTGGATCCGAATCATCGAAATCTTGTCCACATCCAGTCTTCCACGCTGATCGTCATTAAAGGTGTATGCGCGATTCCTCTTCTTCATCAACTCCACCATCAGAGCCTTCTCTTGGGGTGAAAGGAAGTCGGGCTCGCCAACTATCATTCTCATCATTGGTACGGCATGGACCACTCGATGCCTGCTCCCGCATGCGTCGTATCAATCCTCGTTCCCGCTAGTAATAGGCCTCCTCATCTTCAGTAACGAGCACAGAAACTGGGCGGCACTTCTTTTCTACCGTCTTATACCGCCTTTGGGAGCCCTACTTAAGCCGTCCCCTAAAAAAGGTCAGCTTGTCGTTTGCGCTTTAGCCGCAGGGCCTTCTCTTCCACCTGGAAGCCGATAGATCAATTTCACCTCTCCTTCTTGAGGGCTTTCCAAAACTTGTTCCCTCAGCGCCTTGATTGCTTCCGGGTCTGCCATATCATGCGCTGCAACCACTTCCATGGCCTTATTCACATCAGTGAGGCTCAGTGACAGCACTCCGGCCCCTCCTTCCTCCTCAGGCGCCTCCCAGAGCCTTCGTCGCTCGTTCTCGGATTCCTCATAAGTGAACGAGCCGAGGTAAGGCCAATTCCTTCCACTCCTTGACCCTGTGTTCCGACAGGTGATAACCTCATAATTTCCACAGGCCGGATCACTCATGAGCAGGATCATCGCCCCATCATGCTTATTGAAAATCAAAGTCTTTGTCCTGCACTGGAACGATCTCCCCAAGAGGATAAGATGATCAACGTCTGGCATGACAAAGAAGCAAGCCCTCGCCCATACTTTGTCGATCTCTACAATCACATTGGACGTCGTGCCGCAAAAGATCGCCATGTAATTGGCACCATGTAGTATGCCGTGGTCCGAGCGATCGACCTCCAATCCCAACATAATCGCATCCCTCTCGCGGATGATATTCATCTCGGCGCCCGTGTCTACCATTGCAATACACTTTTGATCCCTTACCAACAGGTCCACCAAACCACATGCCACACACTTCCAGTCCATTCTCCTTCCCGCTTTCATCCACTCTACTTCTCTTGGCAGGATTGCACTCAGATGGATATTGGGCACTAACCTCCGCGAGAGCCGTCCCTTCAAGCTATCTCAAAGCCTTGGGGCGGACGACAAAATATCCTTTAAGTCCATAAGGTCATTATGACCTTCTAGGAGCCTATCCACCATTCTTTCCACGTCGAAGCCTTCTTCCATCCGGACCACGTACTTCTTTTTTTTGGGCACACCGTCATGCTGGCTCGGCTCGACTTCCTCCTGAACTTCTCTCTTCCTGGCCCTTAGCTCCGCTCACCGATATTCCTCGTGCCGGAGCCTCTCATCCTCCTCATCGTCATCCTCCTCTTCCCCTTCCGGGACCTCCACCACTTCTTTCCTGCGCTCGGGCTCAGGTTCCCTTCGAGGGGGTGCCTGACCAGGCGCCTGGCTGGGCCCTTGACTGGTACCAGCCTTGCTCTGGCCTCTGGTTCACGCCACCTGTGGCACTCTTCCATGCGAAGTGGGGGGTCTATAGGTCATCCCTGACCTAGGGCCCGGCCTTGCCGTCGCAACCCCAGAATACCCCCGCTGCCCTGACATCGATCGAGGTCCGGATTCGTAGAGGAAGACTTCAGGGAGGCTGGCCTTCCACTCCTGGGTCTCGTCACACAAGCTCTTCAATTTTTGCTGGTACCTACCCACCTTCCCCAGTAAATCCTCCATCTTCTCCAAGATGGTTATGGTCGACTCTCTCTCACCTCTCCCAATTCCTCATCATCTGACTCAACGACTATTGGCTCTTCCTTTATAGTCCCCGCCTTTAGTCGCTGAGTCACCTCTTCATTCTCCCCCACGATCTCCTCGACCCGTACAGTCGGGCCTTCCCTTTCTTGCCATAGCCTAAACATGGCCGGGGGTGCTGACCCTGCCGCTGCTCGCCTAAGGGCCTCTTGCCTGACTCCACCAGGAGTTTTTGGGTCAATATACTTCCCGAACTTATCGTATATGTCCCCATCCATATTGGTGGAAATCAGTCCAGAGAGTTCGTCGTTCCGCCGTTGCTGGCAAAATCATATGGTATGATCCATAACGCCACAATGCCGGCAAATGACATTCCGCCAATCAAACCGGGGCCTTCCATATCCTTGGCCCCCTTCCTAACCGCCTTAGTTGCCTTGGCCCTGGCCTCCTTGGCCATTCCATCCTCCACCACGGCCCCCACCATTTCGCCCTTGTCCTCTTCCGCCACCTCCTCGTCCACCTTGGACTCTGTCGCCATTCCCTTGTCCACCCTGCCCCTGGTTCCCCCCTCCCGCCACGCTAGCCTGCGATGCTTGCTGCACGGGTGGAGGTTGGGCTGCAAATTGCCCCTGAGCCGCCGGAAAGCTTGGTGGCCCTACACTCGCCGGCGAGCCCGAATAGGGCACCATCTGTCCTGAGGGAACTTGGCCCCCTCCCAACGAGTTGTAGGGGTTACATATGGGCCAGGGCGCCATTGGGCAGAAGGGTTGCCAATGTCCATATGGTAATGGTGGCCCCATTTGTGAAGGCATTGCCGCCATAGACGAGCGAGCAGCATTGGGCGATGGCGTCACGATCGTCTGCTGGATCTGGCCTTTTCCAGAGCCTTGCCCTCCCAGCAATAAATTGCGCTAGTTGCGTTGCGCCTTAGTGAAGGCCGAGGATCCCGTCTCCTCCTCGCCATAATCTTCCTGCCCGGCTTCCTCTCCTACAACCCCTTTCTCCCCGACCTTGGACGATGGTCACCACCTTTCTTTGTTCTATCCGGTCTTTATTAATCCCCAACTCTGATAGAACGTCTGATACAACCCTTTTTATATCTGGGGCTTCCGTAGTCCCCACATCCCGTTCCTTGTGCTATTTCCAGTGCTGGCGCATTTGGAACGGGTGGACCTCGTCCAAGTCACCTTCCTGTACTCCTTTGTCAATTGTAGCCCAGGTAAGCTTTTCACCTCCTCCTCCTTTGCTCGTGAGCTCCTGGGCCTCCGAGGATTTAAACAATCCGAGGAAGATGGCACATTGTTCCTCTTCCGAAATCCCTGAGACCTTTCTCGACTTTTTCTTAAAGTCCTCAGCCAACGCCCCAACTGTGGTGTAGTCATTCCTGTTAACGGCTTCCAGATCTGCCGTCGTTAGCAGCCCATCACCCAATCGATACTTCCTCTGCATCCCATCTTTAAATCGGGACCACCCGTCATTTGATGCCGCTATAAATTTCTTGACTTCTTCGTGCAGACCATGGTATACGTACTTCAAGATACGTTGGAACTTCACCGCATCCGCTACTCCAACCATCGCCTGCTCGACCAACCCGAGCCAAACTGAGACGCGCTCTCCCTTGAACAAGAAGGTTTCAACTTTCGGAACACTACCACGAACCAGTTCTTGTCGGTCCAAAGCCTCGACCAAATCGTCGAGTGTTATCTTGTTCCCACCACCATTAGAATTAGCTTCAGCCATTTCGTCCGGTCTTTTGAGTCAGAACCCCTATTAAGAAAAGTAAGCAAATCACTCCATTCAGCAACTAATCGGATTTTGTAGCACCACTACCGACTTAAATTTTACTAAGCCTAACCACATGACCACCAACTTAAAATCACCTTTTCACCAACCTGGACATGGACTAGCTTTACCTCAAGCTTCAAATTTTTCCTGTCCTAGGGGAAATCTCTCAATCTTAATCGGACTGTTCCTCGAGTAATCCTTTATACAATTCACTTATATCAACCATACCACATGTCGTTCTGCCTAGATCGTCCATCTACACTTTTAGCCTGGGTCCGATCTCTTCAGGACCTCGAAATGAGATCCCCGGCAACGGCGCCACCTGTCGAGCGCATCGGTCCGGCACCGCACAAGGCAGCGCGGGACCCTCCCGGCCGCGTCACACAGAAGTTGGTATAAATCCTCATCATGAATATACATGGAGCTTCCGCAAGCCGCTCCGGCCGAGTGCGCCAGCCATACCTCTCGCGAGCCCCTACGACAGGATAGGGCTTACGCGAGGCACGACTTACCTCCACCTTACGTGAGTTGTCACCTCCCTTCGTTGGGCGTATCCCCGCCGAGCTACCAGTCCACAGTACGAAAGTTAATTAGCTGCAATCGCAGAGGTGGACCAGCCGAGGGCGTTTCTCGTTCGCTGTAGCATAGGGGGTACGTGCGGTATTACGCCTCTATCTAACCGGCACACGAATCGACATCTTGGGGGGTTGAGGTCCCAAGCGCAATGTCGGTGCGAATACCCTTACAAGGGTATCCGCCCTGGTTTTTGCAAATGAGAGAAAATAAGTTGGTTTAAAGATTAAGTATTTCATGAAAGGCGCGACTGTGTCGATGGTTTACATTTGATTAGGTGGTCGAGTAGTGTAGAGGGTGTGTAGGCGTCCAAGCTTTAAGGCGTGAGTGTGGTTTTTTCCTTTGAATTGTTCGTAGGGCTGGCGTAGCCGGCCGGCCTAGGTTTTATTTGTTGACTAGGGTAAGGACGTCAAAACTTTCGTCCCTCTATCCGGCGCGTTCGACCGGCGGTAGGCCGGGCGTGCGGAATGGCGGCAACCATGGTATAGTCGGAACAGACTGGCGTGAACATCTAGTGCTCGCACTCTCGGCAGCGGGTGGAGGAGTGGTCGGGCACTTTTTTTTAACCCTGAGCGTTGTGCTGCACTGGTTCATATGAGAGTCCTCGCATGTTGAGTTCAAGCTTGGGCCTAGCCCTATAGGTTGCAGCATTGGACTTGCGAAACGGAGGTGCGGGGATTGAGACCAGCAGGTGGCAGCATTGGATGAGAAGGGCTGAGGGGTTGAGGGTCCCGCGGGACTATCCCCTTTAGTTTTTGTTGGGGAAGGTCGATCACGGGCCCGCATGGCCGGTCCGAGGAGGTGCTGGTAGGTCCCGCCCCTTTTGTTTTATTTTAAGTTATTTTATTTTACTTTTTTATTTCGTCCTATTCGGATGCGAGCCAGGTGCCAGCCGGTAGCATCAGGGTCAGGCTTCTCCGATGGGCCGGACACTGTGCCTCCCCTCCGGTCCCCTCCCCCTATGAGCGCCAGCAGTCCCTGCTCAATGCCACTCGGCGGGGGTACCACGGACGAAGATAAGCAAGCCAGGAGGAGTTCCGGGGGAGGCTGTTGTGCCACTACCATGTGCGGATCGTTCGGCTGAAGGTGGCATATGATAGGCGCGTAAGGTGAATCGGACCTATGGCTAGCTGGTGTAGTTCAAAACCCTCCCAGTATCGCTGATATTGTTGGGAGAGGCTAAGCAGTGACCGATCGCTTTGGATCGTCTGGTAAGTAAGACCGCGGTTGTAGTGACAGTCGGGCGACATACTAATGGCAGCGGGAGGATAGGCGCTAAAGCAACGAAGCAGGGTAGTAAAGAAGGCGACTAAATCTGGGCAGGTCGAGCGCTAAGGTACGTTTGCTGGAGGAGATGGCGAGTGACGGGCTCGGCGCGGTCAGAAAGGGATAGCTCATCCAATCCTTAATGGATTCAGGCGGTGTAAAGCTCTGCACTGAGGTTCTGGAGTAGGGCGAACACGAATCTAATGTTAGTTCTAACAGAAAGGGGTGGAAGAAGAAGGCGTGCATTGAGACAGCGACGGAGTTAGAGAAGACGGAGGGAAAAAGGCATATCCCTTTAGGTAGTGGATGGTTTTGAGCCGGGGAGGACTCGAATCGGATGTTTTCCGGTTATGGCGACTCGGTTGGTAAGGTTAGTTCGGCCTGCAGATTAGTAAAACGGGAGTTAGTGTAGAGAAGCACCGTGCGGAGGATTGTTGGAGTCGACTATGGCGGGGCTGTGAACGGCGATTCTTCGGCCGAATTTCAACAAAAGAAAGCGAGGGAGAGGAGGATTTAGAAGTTTTGCAACCGCGCGAATTAAACTATGAAGGTAGATTTAGCTATGAGTTAGTAGGATATAAGTTAGTAAGAGAATGAACCTAAGAGCGTTTTGGTGGCAGATTCATCCTGTCTGGTACGGTCGGTCTGCAGTAGCGTGAGGCGGGTCGTAGAGATTAGATGCCTGCCTGTTTTGACGGGTGCATCGCTCATCCACCCGCGAGTGATAGGGGACTCGCCGAGTTGGGATGCCTGGTGCCGCCTTCCTGATGAGAGGTGGCGGGCGCTGCGGCCGAGGTTCGTGAACACAGAGGGGGAGTGGTTTCTGTGGTGCGAAGTGCGGGGGCAGCAGGCAATGAGAAGCGCTACTACAAAAATATATGTAAATTTCCTATACTGGCGGTAGGACCATTTGGGTAGACCATCCACATCGATTGAGGTGGCGTACGGCCAGCCGTAGGCTGGAGACTAATCTGCAGGAAACTGCGCTGCCCATCCAGGTGAGAGAAGAACGTTTGAGGCGCAAGTGCACCTAGCCAACATCTGGCGGGAGAATTAATTCAGTTTTGCTTACCCCGTCGTTGGTCGTAATATGTAGGCTAGGAGAGTAGAGAATTATCTCTGATTGGCGCGATTGTTCACTCTGATGGTGGAGAAACCACAGGCTACCTCGCTGCATGTGTAGACGGGGAGCCGTGTACTCTGTCGCGTTTAGGCGGTGGATTCGGTCGGATCTGCAGTTTACTACCAATAGTCGGAGCAGCAAAGAAGAGGTCGTGGGGCTGGTCATTTTCCTATTAGCTGGTGTGCCACCATCAACGCTGGCAGAGTGGAGCGAGGTGGGAGACTGATCTGTGTGACCAACACGCTATTGACCCCGTGGTATGAGGTGCTTGAAGGAGGGGCTAGCGGTGAGAGTGCGAGCTCATCCGACAGACGGTAAGCACAACTTGCTGCTGAGGAAAATGACAATAGACTAGCTACGGGGTATTGACTTGGTGGTCAACTCAAGTAGTGCCAATACTACGGCATAAAGAGGAGCCGCCGGTGTGTCGAGCTTGCTACAGCGCCGTAGCGACTCGCCTCGCCTCGAACCAACTGTTTCAGCACGGCGACCGTTGTTTACAAGGTATTGCTGTACAGGCGAACTAGAGGTCGGGTCACAGTATCAATTGTTCAGCTGCCTGGGAGCTTGGCAGGGTGTCTGCCTACGAACAAGTGAGGGACGCTACTCAATTCTTTTTCAGTTGTTGCTGCAGAGACTCACCAATTTGTGTTGTCGTGAAAACGGGATTCGCAGGGTATGTTGGAGTACGGTGACTGCAGACTGTGTTTACAACGTGTATGGGGGAGCAGCCGCCGAACAACAGGGCTGCAAATATTGTATCCATATGACAAACTGTGTATAGCTGACTGGTTACCTTCTTTAGTTCACTCTTGGGTAGTTGCTGCGTGTCGCTGTGCTATTCGCAAGGACGGACAAATTGAGAATTCTTGTCTGATCTTTAAGGTGCAGTGTGGCGACGGTCGTTGAAGGGAGATGCTAAGATTTAAAGAAGTGATTAGGCCGAGGAAAGAGGTTATTGTCATGAGTTAGGAGGTCGTCAGAAGGATGACTTTGATAGTTTTGACTTCAGAGCTGAGTAAGTTGCTGCTGCGTTCGCCATCATTGCGGGGCCCTTAGGCGCATCGAGATAACAAGACCCTCTCACGCGAGTCTGAGTGCACTCCTGGATCTGAGAGTCTCAAACCTATCTCTCTCTGCCCTTCTCACTCCAAGTCTAGTCTATTGGTTACGAGAGGAAGGCGGCAGGCGGGATTGCAACCCGTAGGACCGTATCAAGACTCTGTGGGGAGTCCACCCACCGATTGCGGGAGCTCTGCCGGAACCTAGGCGAGGTTCTGGAGGCAGGGAACCATCAGGTATATCATCTTTCTGTCTGTATGACCCCACTATGCCCTTGTTTGCTTATCCCCCCCTTAGTTTGACTGATGTATGCATGAGTTTCCCCTATGATTCTTGCTCCCTGTTCAGGATTAATCAGACTAAATGGAAGGAATGTGTGTGTGTGAAGCTTAAGTTTCTCTTTATTTCGACTGAAAGCAGATTAAGGGATGAATTGGGGGAAGGTTGGAGGAAGGCAGACTGCATGCGTTTGACCGGGTCAACTAAGGACTGACCATTGTTTCTAAGTTGAATGGCCCAGGGTTTGCCTGATGTGAAAGCGTTTTCTTATTTTATTCTGAGGGAGGAGTTTTGGTCTAAGGATGAGCATTGTTTCTAAGTTAAATGGCTTAGCTTGAAAACCACGCACATAAGTACAACCTGAGTATAAAAGAAAGTATTTTACTTATACTTGCATGTGAACTGGCAGCTGGACATTGTTTCCAAGCCGAATGGTCCAGCGTTAAGCCATATCACAAAGAAGAGAAGGAAAAATACAGAATATAATTGGAAATAGTATGGGCAAGCTAAACATTGTTTCCAAGCCGAATGGTTCAGTCCCCTGCCCATATTTGCTTTTTCTTTTTTAGAACAAAATCAGAGAATTACTAAACTTGGGATATTAAACAGTTCAGGGCGGCTAGGCATTGTTTCCAAGCCGAATGGTATAGTCAACTACCCAAGAAAAGAAAAGTAGTAGTGCAACACGTTTGTGTATATCCTAAGGCACGTTGGACATTGTTTCCAAGCCGAATGGTCT